TGTGTAAAACACCCAGAAATGTCACAGAAATTTACATGATCTACATTTTGTCCGGATACTTTTGGCAGGTGAGTGTAATAAGATTATGCAAAACAGTCCAATTTATGAAAACAAAAAAATGCTTTTGACAAATGTTTTCAACGTCTATTTACTATCACGAAAAACCAAATCAACGTCGACTCATTTCCATTAGACCCTTTTCATTTAACAACCTCAATCTCTTGTATTCATTTATCACGTCCCTATCTACCTTCAAGGAATCAAAGTCAAAATCAAAAGTGTCTAACGAATCCCAGGAAGGAGATCGACTCATCGCCACATAGATCTGACCAGGAGCAAACATATTTTAATCTATGGTCAAGGTGACGTGCGGCAACGTTAGGCCTTGGGTCTTGTGGACGGTTAACTGAAAGTTCAATGTGTCAAACACCATCGAAACAATGGGATCGGAGCATTGATCACTGGATGGTAGATTTTCACAAATGAACGTGTTGATTTGTTCTGAGATCGCTCTGGAGTTTTGTGAATCTTTGATCTTTTCACTGATCATTAACCTTGATTTTTCAGAAAGATGACTGAATCTCAACTCTTCAAGCAAATTGTAAAATCCAAGTCACCTCTCTGTCGCTGTGGTTTGGTCAGGAACAGAGGAAAGAAGGATTTCCAAGCTGGCAAAAAGAAGATATGCTCTCCATTCACGGGAGGCAATTGAAAAAGGTCATCAACCACGAGGACAGGAATTCCGCCGAAGACCTTATGATTTTGGTGCACTGAGCCAAAAATGTTGCTTATGAATGAGAACAATTTATTGGAAACCATAGAACCTTCATCAATTATGACAACTCTTATTTGCAACAAAACCTGCATCAACGATTCTGACTCTATCGACAAGGTTTGATAGTGGTGGTCACTCATTTGCCTCATCCTCAATGCTGAGTGGATGGTTTTCCCACCAACATTCTGGGCTGCAACACCTGTAGGAGCAAGCAACAGGTAATCCGATTTTTTTGCTTTTCACCATATCCACCACTTTTAGGGTCATGAACGTCTTCCTGGTCCCTGCTGACCCACTCATGAAGAAGTATGGATGCTTACCTTCACTTTCAGGACCCATGAGTTACATAGCGTGTTGTACACTTTGTATTGCTCATCATCAAGCACTAATGTAGAGATCCTCTGAAGAGAAGGCTTTTCTAATGAGATAAGTTGACTGTATATGATATCCCATAGGTCCTTTTCCAGATCTGATAAAACTGACTCAACTACCCTTTTAAACGCTTCAGAAAGTTGGAGCCTACTGGTAACAGAGCTTCTCATTAACCTTGATACAGCTTGCTCGTACCTCACCAGATACAGGATCCTGAAACTTTCTCTAAAGGTTGAATGCCCTCTAAGTAGATCTCTCTCAGAACGTGCAAGGTGCTTCATGATGAGATGTTGGTAAAAGAAAGGTTCCCCATCATCTACTCTATAATTTGCGAATCTCAGAAGCAAGGGTTTGGTTCTCTTGATGACACATCTGTTTCTCAAATCCCTTGTCCAGTAAAGTTTCCAGGTGGATTGCTCCTAACATTGTAATTTCGAAAATAATCAGGGTACGTGATTTCTTGAAAAGGCTCGCTCACTGGTTTCTCAAAATATTTGTTTATGGCATCATCAAAATAGGGCCTTTCACCATCACCATCACCATCACAAGTAATGGATCCTTCCAGAGCTTCCTTCGTATGTTTGCCAACTTATTGTGGTAATACAAATATATGTGCAATGGCCTGTTTGTTGGCAGCGGATCCTTATTATCGGTAGTTTCTAAGATTTCTTTCAGATGCTTCTGCTTGTCTTCAGCGGCTGTCATTGTATAGAAAATTTGAGGCAGACCATAAGCTTGAGTCATCGTGTTCACTTGGTACTGTTTTTTCCTGAAGAACGGTGCGGATGTTCTGATAGATGAAGGTAGGGTAGTGGTCAGAGATTCATCTATTGTGGGACGATCAGTGTAAACACTTGACGATATTAAGTCTGATCTGGTGAGGTGTAAGTCACAAGAGACATTCCTTTGGTTCAAGATCCTATTCTGGTTTTGATAGTCTTTTTTTCCAGATTCAGATACGAGAAATGTGGCCAGTACCAGTGGAGTCTGAACCTTGGATCTGGACACAACATCCGTAATTTAATATATTTTCCATAGCTATCTGTATGGTGTTTGAACTCTAACAATTTTTTCAGATCTTGGGAAAAGGTCAGGAAAGAGCAAGGCCTCTATGTCTGGATTGTTGTATTGGATTGGAAGCGCAACATCTTCGTTTGAGACAATGAACCCCGCCATCAAGCATTCGTATCGGTAGTCTTAGTCATGAATTAGTGTCGGAAATTCATCGTTGGGACAGTTAGGGATGGTTGTGAAGCGGTTGAGCTCGAGGATTGAGCAACCGGCCTAGCCATTGGCAACAGTCGCGGAAATAGACTGAATGCTAGGGGGCATGTCACGGTGCAGCATTCGCTGTACTGCTTGAATATTGGGTTGTTTCGCTTCAGCCATCGGCTTGCGCTTATCAATGATTCGTGAAACTAGTGTGGTGGTTTGTTTTGATCTAGGAAAGCCCCGATTAAACCCGAGTGCAAATTCAAAGCATGCTTATTTTTCGATAGCCCGATGAAGCCTTGCAAGTGGAGATAGTTTGTGTATCGATTGGACTTGGATGCTCGTCCCAATGAACAACTCATGTGAATTGGAGATAGGTGCTTTCGATGCTTCATCGGAACCGCACTGATTTCCTCAGATATCGTATATTTACACGATGAACATACAGTGATCTGGTTCGGCCCCTGTTGTTCACACGTAAAGATAATTGAAGGTCAGGAAACGCCATTGTTATGTCATAAGTTTATTAGGATCGTAATCAACCCATTTAACTGCAGCACTCATCATCAAAATAGAACAATAGGCACAAGGAATGGATGGATGATCGCAAAGTATTTTTTCTCGAATTCATCTGAGAGTTTCTGAAGCTTTCTTGGAAGTAGTTCACACATTTGCGCATTCTCCAAGCTCTGATTGATTTCACTTCAGTTTGAGTACGTGGAAAGAAATGAGACATTGTCACTGGATTGCTTGGGTTGATTTCTATAATCCATGATTTCAAAAAGTTATATTATAATTATGTAGTTACATGTGGAGAGGCAATTTATTTATTATTATTATGTAGTTAAAAAAAGTTAAGTATAGACAATTTATTTATTTATTTTATTTAAACCTTTTTTTTATTTTATTTTGCTAATGCCATTTTATACATTTTATATATCAATTTTGATTTCATCGCTGAGAGAAAAGATCACTCTTTGTTTTGCTTATTTCGAATAATAAAATAAACGCAACCACCACGGTTTAAAAACTTTACATATGCAGGTGTTTTCAAGGATTTAGGATTTACTAGTCAATGATCACGTGTGGGACCATATCCTTTAAAAGAGAATCGAAATGATGTGATTGTTTAAAGTTTAAAATTCAACTTTATTTGTCTTTAAAATATCAACAAAAAAAACTTTGTTAATATTTATAAAAAAAGGTAAATTGATAAAAGGATTTTTTTACAAAAGATTTAAAGATTTACGATGAATTATTGAAAAGGAATCGAAGAAATTGATTTTTGTTGTTAGAAAAGGCTGAGATTATTAGTAGTAGTGTTGTTAATATTAAAAAAAAAATTAAATTATTGAAATATAAATAATATTTTTAGTGATTTGTTAAATTTGTTTTGAAATATATAAGGAGTTATGAAAAAAATAAAATAATTATCTCTCTTGGATTTACAAATTTATGAAATTATTAATTTCTTCCTATACGCAATATGTAGTAAAGATTCATCTTGAATTTATTAACTGCAGATCTAATTATTGCTTGTTTAGTTCAATATCTTCCTCATCGGATAATAATGGGATAATCCTGATTGTCATTATTATAAATTAAATAAAATAATTAAAAGAAAATAATATATGAAACAAGTTAATTGAATGTGTGTATGATAATTTCTTTGACAAGAAATTTATATAATATAGGTGTGTGCGTGGAGAAAGGTTTATTTGTGGGGAAAAATTTATTTGTAGAGAAAAAGTTCAAATCATTATTTGCAATAAGCTTACCAATCATCTGAGAGTGTATCAGATCCTTGAGGAGATCCTGGTGAATTAGATCCACTAGATCCCAAATGAAATACATATGGTTCAAAACTATCTGAATCTTTAATATCTAATTCAACAGAATCAGAATCATATCCTTGTTCAGATGAATTGTATTCCGATTCTGAAAGATCTAAAATTGATGTGCCTCCTTTTGCTTCTTGGATTAATTTAGGGAGTAAGAATGCTTTGATAAAATTATCAGAATAAACGGTATATGGATTATTGTTATACAGTGGTGGATCTTTAAAGCTTTGGCATTTCTGTAAAATATCAGAAATATTAACATCTGGATCTCTGAGAGGATTATCACATTCGGGACCATTCTTTCTCCATCTTATTATGTAATTTAAAATGGTGTCTCTTCTATGTGGTTTTTGGGCTTCGTAGATGATCTGGTTTTTGAAACCTTTCCAATAATTTTTTATTGGTTCGCCATCGTCAAATTCTGAAAAATAAAATATCGCTCTCTTATACGAGAGGAAGTGGGTGTAGATGTAATGAGCTTCGTAATTTTTTGCCAATTTACCATCGCTAAGAATTTTGTTGACGATTTCGTTCGCTTTTTTTAACATTCTATTTACGGGACAAATAAAAAAGTGAGGTATTGGAATTGCGTAATGAAGCCTCTTCAAGGAATTGTGTTTCTTTATCAGATTGAATTGATCGATCAATATCAGGTTGAGCTGATCCATCAGCATTAGATTGGTCCGAACCACTGATGTCATTGGTATTAAGTTGAGCTGATGCATCTATATCTTTGGTCCAGAATATTACATCCCCTCCTACATTTATACTAGGTAATCCATAATAACTGTTAGCAACAAGCATACTAAATTTTTTGTAAATAAAATTGGTATAAATAATTAAACAATTAGAATAAAATTTATATATATGATGCAGTCTGTAAATGATTACTTACTTTACTTTGGTTGTATTATGATCAAAACAATCCGTGCAACACCTCGTCCGGAATTGCCAATGTATTTCCGTCGATTCTATTTTTCCACAAAAGAAGCACGATTGACAGAGGAAAAATCTGATATATTCTAATTCATTCCAATGTGGTGGTGGCGGCAGCTTCTTGAAATAATGTATATAATTTATCCTTGAGATTTCCCAAATTTTACCATTAGATTTATCGGTCAATATTTTATGAAACTTGCAACACGTTTGCGTTAGAGATAACAGATCAGATGGTCGGAGGTACTCGTAAATTTCACAAAGGATTTCTGTTGGAAGCTTGTGGAAATTTATTTTTTTTTTAACATCTAAAAGTCTAATTAGAATGATTAACAATCACCAACCTTTTTTTTTTAATAGCTTTATTATATATAACTAGAGTGACGATGAGTGGCGGACGATAACCACCACCACCACCATTCCTAAAACGCTTACCCAGAAACCTCAGCTTTGTTTTGTTGTTTGCTTCTTTTATTTCTGGACATCTTTGCAAAAAAAAAGAAGAAAAAAGTTTATACGATCGACGCGTACACATTAATTATTTATCCTATTGGTTTTTTTTTTGGTAGGACAGACGCGAATTGATTTTTTTTCTTACTTGGATTGACGTTGCCTTATTTGTATTCATTCTATAAATAACAAAAAAGAGAGCTAATCATGGTGTGGAAAAACAATTTATTTTTTGACAGAGCCCAAGGTGACAAAACGTGAGTGATGTTTTTGGTTTGGTTTGGTCTCCTAAAGAAAACGTGTTAATAATAGAGGTACTTTTTTTTTTACTTGCATTGATATAATGTGGTATCTTTTTTAGTTTATAAATATTTTAATTGGAAATCAAAACGCGGAGCAGATCTTGCTGGGTAATTACAAGATTTTCATTGATAATATTGATAATATTTTGCTTTTCGTAATCAATAATAATATTATTATATTATTATAATTACAAGATGTCAAGGCAGTACATCGTTGAAAAAGAAACAATTCAAATATACAATGTTTGATTATTGGAAAATAGCAGGCATTGAAGCACGCACGCTACCTTGAACACATTACAGTCATTCACACACCTTCCTCGTGTACACAAGGCTAATCTGACCAAGATTACCCCGATGATATGATATGCTACTGAGTTCCAGGGGGGGTAACATGGCCCTGGAGTTTACCAAGATTGCATCAATCGTCAATGATGCTTTCACTAATCTTCCCTCACCAGTGATGACCGCTGGCATGCTAGCTGAAAAGTTGCCTACAACGATCCCTACTCTAGGGCAAGGATGGCACTGTGATCAAGTCGCAACTCTGCTGATGAATTGTAGTGCCATATAAATATCCAGATCATCAAAGCAACGAGAATCTGCAACTTGTTTCAAGCACAGGAGGTTATGGTGACCTTGAAATTTCATTTGGGTTCTAATGTTAAGAGGAAAGTTGTAAAATAGTGTTTGTTTTGTATAATTGTTTTCCTAAATTCTCTGTTCTTTGATACTAACCAATTTATAATTTTGGGTATAGAGATGGCTCTGCAATTGATTTGAAAATTCTGCAAGTGGTTGCAACCTAGGTTGCAGAGCCATTTTTATTTGGGTAGGGTTTTTGCCCAATCAGTCCCCCTATCCTATAGATTAAAATTATCGCATGATTATATATATTTTTGTCAGCAATATGGTCAACAAGAAAAAAGTTATAAAATGTTTCAGATTTTGTTTGGTATGTTATGTATAAATTAATTATTCCCAAATTTTCTATTTAATTTTTATTTGACCAACTGAATTTGTTATTTTTTAAATGGGGGTAGGATTATTGGTGAGTAGACATGCCACAAACAAGACAGCAACTCAGGACTCAAAACTCGGAATTTAGGGAAAATCAAAACAATAACTTCCCAAGTTGCTGAATTTTCAAACCAGTTGCGGACACCAACTTTATTCTAGAGAGGGATATAATACAAAGCAATCATCACACAAGCACCAGCTATCAGTGATCAATGCCCATAGGGTAACAACCAAGCTTGGTCTTAGAGGAAGATAAGGGAATGTTTTGTCCAAAGCCTTCCAACATGTGTGCGGCTCAACCTGTGGAAAAACCCCATAGTTATGGGACGTGCAAAGCATGGTTATTGCATGTTTGTGACAGGAAATTTCAATTAAATCTGACACCTGTGATCAACCTCAGATTTATTATTCATAAGGAACCATAATTGATAATCAGGAAGAATAATTTATTATTGTGGACCCCAGAGATCTGGGTAGACAGGCATTATTAAAAGTTTTATTTATGCATGGCCTTGGTATCATTACTACCTGGGTGATGCAATTGTTTGTTATGTCAATGATGATATCAAATGTATTGAATAATAATCATGACCATCATGAATATTTGTTGGATGGAGGCGTTCACATACAAGGAAATGATTAAATAGCTAAGTCATGTTTATTTTTCATATATATAATTAATTAATTATATTTAAAAAATTATTATTTTATTTCACCTTTGTAATGGCATTAATTTCAATAATTCTGAAATTGTTTGTTAGTGTTAATGATTGAATCAATCACACATGTGATAGTCAGTTTAGATGGCTTTTTTTTAGAAAAGGTTTAGTTGAATTAACACAAAAAAAAGATTAAATATTTGCCGTGTCACGATCTCCTTCCAAAGCTCGCAAATCGTGCGACTTCCGTGCAGGTTTCTCGCTGATTGTCTCCTTTTGCGTTTAGCCGCACTTGGTTTTTTCGGCTTTTGGCGCGATCAATGTTTTCACCATATTTAGCAAAAATTGTGTCGTACGGCAAATGTTCGTTTCATATAAAGGTTGCAATTGCAATTGAGTTGCATTGAATTGAGTTGCATTGAATTGAATTGCAAGCAATGCGTTGTAATTGCAATGAAACCGAAAAATCTCTGTTTTTAAACTTTTTAAACTTAATTTTTTGGGAAAGAATTTTTTGCTTTCGCTGGGTGGTGATTTCAAAAAAAATTTTTTTTTTTTTTTATTTTTCTGAAAAAAAAATTTGATCTACATAAATTTTATTGCAAAAAAAAATATATACAAGTAGAAATTAGAAATGAAAAAAATTTGATATACGTAATTTTTGAATAATGAGAATTATTCAGTGTCACAACTCTCGTCACCGTTGTCATTTACCACTGTTTCGTTTTCATTATCATCGTCATCATTTTCACAGCCTTTATTCTTACTGACAACTTCGTTCATTGTGTGTGTCAGTTTTGTTGCCCTTGCTGTGCTTGATTCTTCTTGTGGATCAAGGTCTATGCTTCTTCTTTTTTTTGCCCGACTCCCTGATGTGATTTGTGGTCTTTCTCTTGCTGTTGGAACTCATGAATTGTTCCTCAAAATCCAGGTGCTTGGATTTTAATGCTTTGCGTGGGGATTTCTTTTCATCGTTGTTGTTGGTCTTTTCAACACTCGGATAAGTCCACTCGATTTCGCTTGCAAAGACTTGTGCAAGCTTTCTGCCCAGAAAAACCTCGCCTGCTACAGTAAAAATTTGTTTCCCGTTTTTTGTAGCATTGGGAACACCACCGTGACGACCATTATCAGGATCATAAAAACATGGAATGTCCATTGATGTGTATCCACCTTTAAATGGGTTGTATGTTCTTCGAGACATAGTGAAGTAATGTTTGTCGTTTTGATTTTTTGAAGGTGTTACACACGGAGCAGTTATGACACCATATAAAGGACTAATTGGCAGATCGTATATAGTTGGTTCGTCTTCTATGGTTTTCAGGTCAAGTAGGGTTGATTTATTCACTATGACCTGGAGTGTGTGACAAGAAATATGTTATTTTAATTATTGTTATTTAAAAAAGCAAGACAAAAAAATAGACAAAATACTCACAAATAATTGCGATTCGTCGAATATGTATTTTCCTGCAAACAACATGATGGTGTTTTCTTGAATCTCATCAATTAAATTTGCTTCGTCCACATTGAATGCCTTGCATTGGATGTCTACATATTCATCATCATCCAATCCGGCTGTAGCTGTGCCGCTTAAGGTTCTGGAGCCATTAACGGACTTGACAAACACGATTGCGGTCAATATAGTAGACATTATTCTTTCGTTTGATGTTTAATATTAATAATAATGAATGAGATAGGGCCAAAAAAATAAAATTGAACACGGATCAATGAATTATTTTGTGTGCAAAGAAAGGTTTTATTATATATTGTTATTTCGTGAAATTTTTTGAACGCGGATCAACGAATTATTATTTTTTTTTTTTGTATATGTGCGAAAGATTTTGTACGAATTTTTGCTTTTTAATGTTAATAAAGATAATTGTAATTATTTAACAAGAGATAATTAATTAATATTTAATATCAGATAAGAATGAAAAAAAAAAACTTTGAGTGAAAGGTTTATTTTATACATGTTTTTAACAATCATCAAAATTTTTTGTTTGTATTTATTATCGCGCACGAAAACCACACGTTGTTCTGTAAATGAAATAAATGAAACGAAGCCATACATTGTTCTATAATTAGTAATGTCAAGTTAAGTAAAAAACATTAATTCAAACGAAGGAAAAACCTTCTTGTGGATTATCATATTTTACTTTATTTGTATTTATTATCGCGCACGAAAACCACACGTTGTTCTGTAAATGAAATAAATGAAACGAAGCCATACATTGTTCTATAATTAGTAATGTCAAGTTAAGTAAAAAACATTAATTCAAACGAAGGAAAAACCTTCTTGTGGATTATCATATTTTACTTTATTTGTATTTATTATCGCGCACAAAAACCACACGTTGTTCTGTAAATGAATAAATGAAACGAAGCCACACATTGTTCTATAATTAGTAATGACAAGCTAAGTAAAAAAATTAATTCAAACGAAGGAAAAACTTCTTGTGGATTATCATACTTTATTTTTTTTGTTATACACACTAATACCAAAATGTTAAAACACGTTTTAGCGAATTATCTTTTTTTGACGATTGAATTGTTTCTAATACTAAAAATGCTAAAAACGGATTATCTTTTTTGACAATTGGATCGATTATGATTATTATTGTTTAATGCTAATACTAAGATTCGTTTTACTTTTTAAGAAAAGCATCATTCTATTATTAACATTTAATTAATTTAATTGCAAAAACATACCGTTGATTCGTTTACTTTTTAAGAAAAGCATCATTCTATTATTGGTGTTTAATTAATTAATTATTAAAACGTGCTAAAAAAAATTTTTTTTGAGTTGTAAATTTTGTTTTTATTAAATGAATTTGTTTATTTTTTCATACATCGTTCATGTTTTGTCTTGATCGTATATCTTAAATTGGTTGCGTTTACAATCGTTTCGTCGACATTCGTTATGTTAAGGTTGTTTCGATTATATCGAGAGATATGGTCAAGAGAAGAGTTAGGAAGAGAGTTATTTTTCAACCAAGTCGAAAACCAACCCTTTAAATACATTTTCGAGTAGTACAATTTTATTTATTAGACTATTTCAAAGGTTTTGTCTCATGGTTGCTTCCAACTTCTTAAATTAGAACTATTTGTTAATGAAACAATTGTCCGTGAAGTGATTGTTGACAAAGTGAATCAAACCTACATTAAATGTTTTATTTTTAAATTCACGATTTTAATTGGTCGATCAACAATTGCGTGGTTAAATTTTGTGTTACCAGAACGGTCACGTTGTATAATAATAACGACAAATTATTTCATGGTTTGAACGTAGTGTGCGCATTTGTAAGCTTAATTTTATCTTGATCGAGGACGCAATCCCAAACCCAACTTAAAATAAATGAATTTTTGTTCTCGTGTAGCACGGTATGCGTGTTTTGTAACACGAAAAGCAAAAGCTCACGTTGCGTTCTCAGTTGTAAACTTGTTAATGTTATTAAATGTTTTTTTTTATTTATAATAATAATTTTTTTTGATACATCAAATTCAGTCATACATTGTTGATCATCTCAAATTAATGACACACTATTTTTAGTGTCACAACACTATAAACTCACATGACCTAAACGGTTAACAATAACATTCCTTCTGCAATTAAAGAAAATGAACAATTATGTAAAATATACTGTATGTTGCTATTTTTAATTTAACATATGTTTTTTTATTATAATCAGCACAACAAATTATAATTAATAAATTTTTATTGAATGGTAAATAAAGAAAACCTTGGCATTTAATCAACACCCCAAGTAATAATTCATGACGCGGAGCATAATAATAATTCGTGATTCAAAACATAATTCGTGACACAAGACATATAGTTTGTGACGCGAAGCATAGTTTGTTAGTTCTTATTATAATAATAAAGGAAGACCCTAATTGTAATCAGCAAGAATTATGTATTTTATCCTATAGTAATAATCATCAAGTATAATTAGTATAATTTGATGAAAAATTATGTAAAATTTTATTAGAAGAATATTATAAATTATTATTGTTACCTAAATCTATTTAAACATAACGTTCAACTTATTGCATTGCATATTGTCTCATTTCCTTCTACATCCCCTCCACCTTCTGATCGTGTAGATATATAGTGAGAAAATAGTTTCATTATTCTCATAAATAATATTTAATGGCGTATTCTTCAAATATTTATTAAAATTTTCTTTCTCTGCTACTTCTTTAAAAACACATATATATCACCTATCAACACTTGTTAAATATTTGAACAAATACAGCTTCATGATAAACTAGAACAAATTTCATCCATCCTCTTCTTCCTCTTCTATTTTTTGTAATAGTAACACTCCAAAAACCAGATATAATTTCATAGATTGCATTTATAATTTGATTCTAATTTAAAAATAAAAAATAATACTATTAAATTAAGAAGCTAAAAGTTGTCAGTTATGTTTAAAATACTTAGACTTGAATTGATTCATTTTTATAAATATGTATGTATGTATATATATATATATATATATATTTACGTTTATAGATCAGTTATTTGACTATTTCTATAGTATTTTTGTCCTACCGTATATAGTGGGACGATTTGGTGGACTTTTTTCTATTATGAAATTTACCCTGGGACGATTTGGTAGACAATGTAAAGAGCATGTAGAAAAAATAAAAAAAAATTTTTTTTTCAAGGAAAATTAGTTTTTATGAAATACAAAGTATTGTTAAGGATATCATCTGTAAAAAAAAAAATTATTTACTAAAAAAAATGATATATTTACTATATGGTGAATTTAATCTACTTTTTGCATTGTACTATTGTTACCGGAATTAAATTTTGACGCAGATCTTTGGGTCAAATCTCTTAATTTCGGGACAATTTAAATTTTATTTCTATTTTAATTTTAATTTTTATTATTATTATTTTATTTATCTATTTTTTATTTCTATTATTTTTATTTTTATTATTTTATTTTTATTTTTATTATTTTTATTTTTATATTTTTATTTCTATTTATTATTAGTATAATATTATCTATTATTATTTATATTCGTGTTACGTTTCGCGTATTTATTTATTATTAATCAATGCGTAGCACATTCATATTTATTTAACTTTATTTAGTAGAGGTTTATGACGATTCTCACGAAACGCGCGGATTCGCCCAAGTGTTTTAAGGATGGTGGTGGTGGTTATCGCCCGCCACTCGTCGTCACTCTAGTTTCTATATAAGATTGGCCTATTCAGTTGTTTAACTTTGATTTTTTCAAGGCACTATTTGCATTGTTAAATAATTAGCGATAATTATTTGAACGTTTACACATATGTATTGACTTTTATTTGCATTTATTTAAATCTAGGAACATTAATGATGAATCTAATTCGGAAATCTTATGCGTATGTATTATGCACCTTCTTAGTTATAAAGAATCTCACATTCTTGACTACTTGCAATCAACATCATTAATTTTCTATTACATAACTAGGATGAAAAAGAAAATATCCATCCACTTTCAAATGAATTGACTAGGGGACGAAAAATAATAGGTATTTATTTTCCTAATATTACTATTTTCATAGAACTCCTTCTAATTAAGTTCGTTTGTTTCCTCTAGTATCGAAGAAGCAAAAGATTATTAAGAGTATGTACACTGCTTCCTTTTTTTCCAATCCTTTTCAAGAAAATTTTGTAACAGAGACTAATCTTCTTTTTGATGGCTATAGGTGGGACTGTTACTCTTTTTGCAGGCAAAGGCATTCCTATCGGCATCAGCAGTTTTAATCAAATTGTAGAACGAAACTTTACTTTTCTTGACAAAACTTTACTCATCGCTGACTTCCTTGAATGCAGTTCAGCAGTCTCTGTCATTGTGCGACCAAGACGTTTTGGAAAGACAACAAATATCTCAATGCTAAAGAATTTTTTTTCTATTCCTAATGATCCTGATAATATAGAATACCGGCATGAATTGTTCAAGAACACTAAAATAATAGAAAGGTCGGACTTGTTCAGGGAACACTTTTGCAAGTATCCGATCATATATATATCTTTCAAGGTATGGTGATTTTTTGTCTGTATTTATAAACAAACTGTGACTGCACTACTGACTTATTTCTTTTTGTTCTTACTAGAACTATGGCGATTGTGAAAATTGGGAGAAGATGTGTGCCCAACTATATGAAGAATTGATAAGACTTTACCAAGAACATGGATATGTTTATCATAATCTTACAAATTATGATAGGAAACGTTTCAATGATGTAATCAATAAGGATGAGTACACTATGAAAAATCTTTTAAAGTATACCCTTTACGATCTTTCTCGCTGGCTGAATAACTACCACCATTGCAGATGTATTGTCTTGATTGATGAATATGATCATCCTCTTGATATTGCACATCGCCATGGGTATTATAAAGAAGCTTGTAGCTTCTTTGCTACTATACTTGGAATGCTTCTCAAGGTGAGACGTTTTTAGGTTTTCTTTGTTAGATTGATGCAAGTGATGATCCTAACAAACACATTGGTATTAACTTTCAACACAGGATAACGATGAAAATTTAGAGAAAGCCCTCCTTGCTGGCATATCTCGTGTTGCTAAATCAGGATTCTTGTCAGGGCTTAACAATGTGAAGGTGTTTCCGATGCATGAAGAAAAGTATGCAGACAAATTCGGATTTACAGAGGATGAGGTTTCTCTTATTATTCAATATCACAACCTGGAAACCCATCTGAAAGGAGTCAAACAATGGTATGGTGGCTATGAGGCAGGAAATTGTATTCATATCTATAATCCCTGGTCAATCAATTCTTTTGTTATTAAAAAGGTTTTTGGGCCGTACTGGATCAATACAGGTAAGGCTTGTATGGTTTGGATTGTATAATAATTTGATAATACTGTTAAAACATGATTTTGAAACATAACAGGTGGCACAGTAATAATCAAAAAATTACTTTGGCGTTCATCTGAAAAAGTTCAAGACCAGGTAGCAGAATTGCTTTTGAAGGGTGCAATTAAGGTGAATATCATGGACGACATTGATTACGAATTATTATCATCTCAATTTGCATACCGGGCGTTTTGGACCTTGCTTTATTATGCAGGTTATCTCACCATGGATCATAATAAGGTATTGCAAATTCCAAATAAAGAGGTAGAAATGGAATGGCAGGACTGGCTGCAAGTGAAGTGTCCGTACACAGTGAACTCCCTGCTGGATATGTTATTACAAGGCGATCTTAAAAATTTCAAAGTATATCTTCCAAAAATAGTCATGGAGATTCTTTCCTGCTTTGATGTTGCTGACAATCAAGCAGAGTTTGGATATCACCTTTTCATGATCGGCTTGCTCTCTCAGGCACAATTTCGTGGCTATAGGTTAATGTCAAACAAAGAGGAAGGTTTGGGACGTTTCGACTTGAAAATCGAACCAGTGGGAAATAATGTAGAGTTTGAAACATCAATAATTATGGAGTTCAAAGTGCTGAAAAAAGAAAAAAAAAAGAATAAGGGCAATGTTTACGAATCACTTCAGGCCAATTCTAAGGAGGGATCAGCACAGATATTAGAGAAAAAATACCGTTCTGGTATTCCCACAAGATCTACAAAATTAGTGGAGTGTGGAATCGCTTTTCAAGGAAAGCAGGCATGTGTGTCAAGTAGAGTTCTTCACAAGGAGGGTAATAGGTGGGTAGAGACAGCTCAATAATTTCCCAATAAAAAAATCTTTCTTTCCTTTTAAATAAATTGCTATTTTTATTTGATTAGTTATTTATGTGTATTTTAAAGAGTCAATAAGAGAGTTGATTAAGGAATTACATATTAATATGTAAATTTAATGATGTATAGAAATCAATTAATTAATGATATTAAATTCGTTAATATTAAAGAAAATTCAATTGTATTATTATTATTATTATTATTGATAACAAAATTTTGATCCCTGAAATTCTTGGTAATACCGATGTTCACTTTGTCTGGTTTTGTTGCAGTATGCCCCATATGTTCTCCCAATGAAGTTGACCAATGAAATTTAATATCAATGTCACATTAATTTGTGGTACATAGATGAAATTACGCAACTGTTTTTTTTCTCTAAACGAAGATCTGGTCTGGGATGGAGAGAGAGCTGGGCATTCATTCATATTTAATTATCAGAAGTATTATTGGTATGAGAAGAAATATTATTTTTTAATAACCAGAAGTATTCTTTTTGTATTAATATATATTACCTTATTTAACATATTTTTTTTTTTTTATAAAATAGCCCAACATCATATAAACGTGGAGCGAGATTTATTATCAATCTCAAGCGTTTAAATGACATTACAATCATTCTCTTTTTCTTATGTGCATAAAGGCTAATCTGACTTGTTCCCCCGACGATACGACCTGCACTTAATTTCAGGGGGAGAGCGCGGCCCTGAAGTTTATTGAGAGTGAATTGTGTTGTCAAAAAGGCTGTTAAGGCCTCTTAATTGTCCAAAGCCTTCTAACATGTGGGATCCTTCTGATCTGTGGAAAATTCTACAGTGTGAAGGGGTGCAATAGCGCCTAACTGCATGTTCGTGAAAGGAAAATTTCATTAAATCTGACTCTTAAATGATTAACATCAGATTTATTTTTCATAAACATTATTATTATTAAGAAATTGTCAAAGGAAAAAAGGCGACAAGACTATTGAAAGAGGTGGAAGTTGCTCTTGGACAATTTGGAAATACCGAGCAACAGATTGGAAATTGGAAATATTTAAAAAATTACGATCGTTCTCTTTTTCTTGTGTGCAAAAGGCTAATCTGACTTGTTCCCCCGACGATACGATATGCATTTAAATTTCAGGGGGAGAGCGCGGCCCTGAAGTTCGTTTAAATTGCATTATTGTCAAAAGGGGCTGTTAAAGCCTCCTACACATTTGTCAATGCCTCCTAAGATGTGGGATCCTTCTATCTGTGGAACCTCTACAGTGTGAAGGGGTGCGATAGCGCCTAACTGCATGTTTGTGGAAGGAAAATTTTATTAAATCTGACACCTGCGTGATATCAATATCAGATTTATTTTTATGGAATTTTGGAAATGATTTTTAAGGGAATTCTTTCTACCTGTCGCAACTTGTAATTGTATGTATGTATGTATGTACAATTGGGGAGAAAAAATAATTTTGGTAAAATTTTGGAATATAATTATTTAATTATTTATCTTTGTGTGACTTTTTTCATTTCTGCATGGTCTTAGTATTATTATTACTTGGTCAATGCAATTATTTATTACGAATAATGACATCAAATGCATTTACATAATCATGAATATGAATATTGTAATAGATATGATACAATAGTGGAGCGAGGTATTCACTCATTCACATTCAAGGAAAGGATTAAATAACAAAAAGATAAGTAACGTTTTATTTATTTTGATTTGACCGAGAGGAAAATACATGCTGTATTATGGAATATAAGTATCACTTGAATATAGGCACCAGTGTGAATTTGCGACATATTTTTGATTTTCTTATTTTTTACATAAAGGTAAATTGTAAAACTTGGAGCTTTTCTGCGTCAGTATAGAAAGAACCTTTTTGATTTTCGGCATTTTGGGAAGAATTTAAAACGGATTAGAGTTTAAACACAAGGAAGCAAAAATGCAAGCACCACCCACATCAAAATGGTGTTAATATTCCCAAATAATCGGTATGTTCATTTTTTGCTATTCATTATAATAATACCATTGACTTTGGATTAACTCCAACTGACAAATAAAAAAAAAGTACTCGATAATTGACACTTTAAATTACGCGTACGTATATTTATTTGCAATGAAAAACTATTTTAAATGTTTGTACATGAAAATGAATTTTCGTTAATTATAAATATAATACATAAAAATATGCTTTTTTTTTTTTTTTTTTTACCAAAGTTCATATTTTTTAAGAAAAGTTATATTTTAGCGATATATATATATTGATTTGAGTAGTGGAAAATTTTTTTTGATTAAAGTTCATATTTTTTTAAGTTATATTTTAACAATATATATTAATTTGAGCAGTGGAATTTTTTTTTTAAAGTTCTTGTTCAACCTTATCATATTCTTCCCAATTTCTTTTACCTGCCATTAAAACAACTTTGGCTTTAAGTAAATCTTTAAACCATTGTAATTGTCTCATAGTTTTGCGACTATGTACTCTATTAATTCTTCTTTCATCGGATCCAACTTCGCCTCCACCTCCACATTTACGTAATCCCCTTTCTCTTGTTGACATCATATCATCTCGTTCACCCCTATAACTATTAGACATTGTTGTTTCCGCTGATGATGATGATGATGAAGCTATTGATCTATCGTTATTCAAAGTACTATTATTATTATGAATAAATGATTCATAGTCACCACAAACTGTACTACTAGGACTATTATTATCATTGGAATTATTAAATAGAATGCTTATATCTGCACCGGTCAATTTCTTTTTAACATCTTCTTCGTGTGCTAATGATAAACCTGGTTTAAAGTAGACTTTGAATTTTAAATGGCCAATAACTTTATGTTTATGATTATTCACAGCGCTGGTGGAGTTATTGGAAGCATCGGCGATAGTAGCTGAAGTGCTTGTAGAATTGTCAGCGATTGTGGTAGTGGTGGTGGTTGGAGTGTTTTGAGTAGTGATGTTGTTGGAATCATTCTGATGACTACCACTATTATTATTATTATCAATCTTTGAATTAGATACTTCTTCTTGATGCTGTTGTTGATCGTCATTATCGTCATCACAGTTGTTAGCGTTGTCCGCAAAGCCATCAACCTCACTAGATAGTGATTTTGCTTTTTTGCTACTGTCACCAGTAGCACTAGCAGCACTACTATTACAAGAAGCGGTAGTTCTTGATTTATTGCCTACATTATCATTATCACTATTACCTTTTTTTACGCCTTCTTGCTCACTTCCATTTCCACAATCATCGAGATCATCATTTCCGCCAGAAATTATTTTGAAATCATTTTCGAGTATAAAATTAGGATCATAACCTTCAAAAATTGGTACTTCAATTTCTTGTTCCAAACAATCTGTAATATTTTTTAGCCGAAGTTCCGCCACTCCCACCGTAGAATTCATTCCAAATATACCTCTACGTTTCACCTTGACAATTAATGATGTTCTGTATCTTTTAAATATTGCTACTTGAAATTGTTCTTGTTGGTTATTATCATTTGAATGTGATGTTGACTGATCGTTGTTATTGTCGTTATTGCATAACCAAGTTGGTGGATTTGATCTTTTTGATACTTGGGTTGTTAGTTTAATTTCAGATTGATTTAACGATAATACTAAATATAAGTTATGTTCTACATTTATGCGAAAAAAATTTTTTTAATATTAAATAAAATATAATTGTTTAAAATGACACAAAATAAAAAAATACAAACTTGTTCTTAAAGAAGCATGTAAATCTTCTGCAACAAACGAATGAGCAAATAATGTTCCGACATCATATCCCCTTTCTTCAGGTGGCAATTTTATATCAATAGCTTTAAATAGAAAGCTCAATCTCACTTTACCACATCCTACTCCATGACGAAGTGGATACCATTTTGATAATTCCTTCTATTGAAATTAGATTAATATAAATCAATATGTCCATTTACAAAAATTTGAATGAATAAATATTCTGTCATCGAAAATGGTTTATAATTTACCTTTTTATCTTTTTTATCAAATATGTCTTTGAGTTGTACAGTAACCATACCAATAACAGGATCATACTCTAAATCCTTTTGATCTTTGACTACAACTCTTACTATTGCTTTTCTCCAATCTTTGACAAATTGTTCTGTTGATGCATTCCAATATGGTGCAATATTGTTTAATTTTGCTCTAGTACGATATACTTTATACATTATATATATGATAAAGAAACATGTAAAATAATTTAAAAATTAATATTAAAGGACCTATTGATCTCTCCCCATGTTAGCTCTTGAAGAAAAGAAAATGGTTAATTAATGCTCATAAAAAATTTTCTTACCTATAGCATCATTCAAATAGACAACCACGTATGGATTTGGATAATTTATATTATAATGATTATCAGCCATTGATATTGTTGATGAATCATCATTATATGGTGCAGCCGTTAATTGTAAATTCATTCCTTGATGAATTTGTAAACCTAAAATACCAGCTATATACGCGCAAGTGTATAAAGTGTATTAGTATATATATATATATGTGTGTGTGTGTAATATGAATATATAACTATTTAAATATACATAAACAATGTAAACGAATAGTATTGAATTTTACCGGTTAGAGAAGGATCAGTCATATCATTAGGTAATTTTGGGAAAAATTCAAGTCTACATTTTAGTTGACCATGAGAAACTGGATCTGTTGGTTTCTGATGAAGAGTTGCCCAACTATAAAAATATGAAATAAAATAAATTCAATTTTTAACCAAATTAATCCAAAATACTCTATTTTATCCTCCCCTCTTTGCCTACCCAACCTCAAACCTCCAAAAAAAACACCACTCACCCGTCATGTATTTTGATTTGTTTATCACCATTTCCAATATAATCTTTAATATCAATCCACATCGATCCAATATGATCATCAGTAGTTAATCTATCCCAATCCATAACACCCAACTTAAACTTGACATGTTCGTCAACAATATCCATTTGTGGCATTTTGAGAAAAAAAGTTTCATGCCAAATCGGACTTGCACAATTTTCTATCACTCGAGTTGACATATGCGTGTGTGCGTATGGTGCTGGATCAAGTGACAACATCACGTATGGGTCATTTTCCCCGTGTACATCTACTTTTGTTAAATTCCTTGCTTCGTAAATATCTACTCTCATTATTCCAAGTGTTTCAGTATCTATTAAAAAAAAATTGTGACAAGTGATAGTGATATTAATATTTACACAATGACAATAATGACACAGGTGTAAAAATAAATATTTATTTCTTCTTTAGAGGGAAAAATCTTACCATGTAAAATATCATCTCCTGACAGCATTTGTTCAAGGTCAATATCAATAAATTTTGGATAAGTAAATTCTTCTAAAACTGTTTGCACTGTATTTCTAATAAATTGTTTTATAATGGGGAACTTGATACATGCACAAAAACACAAAAGTGACGATAAGTATTTAATCAAGTAAATTAAATAATAGGCTTTTTTTTAAAAAAATTAATTTTTTAAACATACTTGAGCGATATTCATTGGTATCAAAGGCATAATACTAGTTTCATAAATCGGAAATTTCAAAAAACTAAATCTACAAGTCGATAAAAATGGTGGACCGCCAGTAATTTTTATTTCAAAATGAATCGAAGCAACAAAACCGGTTAGTTCAACTTTGATCGGGATAGTTGCTGAAATTCCGGTTTTTATCCATGCTAATATATGTGGTGGAGAATCTTGTGGTTTATGTGCTGACGATTTCGCTCTAAATGAAAATGTTGCTTCACCAATCTATAAAAAAAAAAAATAAATAGAATTTAGGGAGATCGATTATTGAAAGAAAAAAATAATATATATATAATAATTAAAAATAAAAATTTAAATATACATACAACAACGTCTTCATCGTCTTCATCTTCACGTCTTGCTAATATTTTTATACTATATTTTGAAAGAACAAAAAAAAAGATTTTAATATTCTTTAATTTCCATTCAAAATAATAGTAATAGTGTAAGCGTAAGTAGGGGATTTACTAATCAATACTTTTCAATTCTTGGAGCAATTAAACCAATTTCAAATGATTCGATATCTGTTGCTTTCTATATTGGGAAAAAAAATCGGTTTTACTATTTATAGATAATCAAAACAAACAAATATCACCTAAAAAATTATTTTTTGCTTACAACAAATGATGGGGAACTACGAGACATTGCATCTTCTAACATATCTCTAAGACCAATTAATAAAGATGGATCAAATGTTCTCCATACTTGTTGAAGTAAATAATTTAACCTACAAATATTTAAAATATCGATAAATGTATGATGTTAAAAAAAAAATTTTTTTTTTTTTTTTTTTGTAAATTGAAGTCAAGGTTAATAAGAAATTACCATTCAACTGTTTCACCGTCACCTCTTTTCAACTATATTTATTTTTTGTAAAAATTAAAAAACAATTTAGTTTTTATTCAGTCATTCAATCATTCAATCGTTCAATCATTTAATCATTCGATCATTCATCCATTAATCTATTCGTTCACACACAATGTGTATATATATATATATATATATATACCTTATCTATGGCTTCTTCTCGTTTAATTTCCCAATTGATTCTTTCTTTATTTTCTTTGATCATATTTGCGTACCACGAAATACCTTGATAAAGTAAAAGAAACACCCAAACAAAAGTCAAATCATAATATCCAACGACATATGATATTATGGAGACGATGATCATTAGCACTAGAAATTCATTATTGATACGTTGATCAAGTAAATTTTGCGTCGGCTTCATGTTATTATTATTATTAGTGTTGTTGATGTTGTCGAAATTGTCGATATTATTATTCTTATTCATGTTATTAATTTTATTATTAATATTTTTATTAATGTTATTACTGCTGCTGCTACCGCTATTATCACTATTTCTACCACAATGACTACAGCAACTATTGCTATTATTATTAATAATATTATTTAAAGAATTATTTAATGCTTTTTTTACTAAGTATTCTTCGTCTGGCTCTTCAAAAATTAGTGTTCTTTCCGAACTAACAGAATCTATTGAAGTTCTAGGTTGTTTTGCGTTTTTTTTATTCAAAATAGAATTAGGAATGTTAGAATTGTGGTTGGGAATGTCGGAATTATTTTTCAGAAATAAACCATAATCATCGTCATCATGATCTGTAAGCAATATATTTTTTTTTGATGTGTAATCATTTGATTGATTAATTTCTGCGGTTGACATCATGATGATTATTAATATAATTTATGTAAATGGCAATATAATATAAAAACTAATTAATTTAAAAAAAATTAAAAAAAAAAAAAAAACCAAAAATTTTTCATTACGTTATTTATATGTAATCATCGTATGCATGCATTCTTATTTCATCCTTATGAATCAAAAATCTTTTGCCGAGAAACAATTGAGATTTTCTAAATGAAGATTATTTTTGTTATCAATATGATGATCTTATATAAATGTATGCTACAAAATAAAAAACTCATTTTGAAAAGCGAGATACGCCAAGATAAATTTCGATCGATTACACCAGATTATTATTTTTTCGTTTCGTTTTACCATAATTTTTCTCGAACCATAATATCTAATAGCAATAGTAGATTATCCAGTTCAAGGATCATCAATCTCAAAATGTGAGGCTTTTACAGGCAGAAGGTATAAGGAATGGTGGGATTTAGGAAAGTGTGGGATTTCTGATTTTTTAATTAATACATAGGCGGTCAAAGGATCCAAAATTAGTATCCTCCTTAAAAAAAAAGAAATAATCAATGAAATTAAGGGGGGATTAAGAAGTTTAAATCCTCATTCATTACTTAATATGGGCTGTACTTTCGTCGACTCAAATGGTAATAGTAAGGTCAATCTCCCAGATACTATTTAAAATGTTCCTTATGTTTAATTGTACTTTCTTCACTCAAACTTCACTTCCTACATTGTAAATGAAGCAAAAACAAGCAGCAGAAACAGCAATTATAATTTAAGAACTTTTCTAAATCTTCAAGGAATATTGTCAAAATAGCGTCTAATTAACAGATTTTCCCACGAAGTTTTATGGACACAAGAAAACCTGTAAATTGTGATACATACAATACTTTTGGAAGTCTTTCAACCCTTTAAATGTGCTTTTTAATAAAGTAGAAATGATATATTCGTAATTAAGTTATTCCCAACTCGGCTAGAACAATGCTTGACATCTTATTATTCAAAGTTCCTGGACATGTGGTGGTGATGCTATAAATTTAATGTAAGTTGACTGTATATATATATATATAACTTGTAAAAATTTATTTCATATATTTCATACAAATCAATATATCAACTGTATTTCTGCAGGAAAATGTTTCCACTCTGCTTCTTCATCTGATAGATTTCTTTGTCCCCGCAGAAGAATCGTCCATTATTATTATTATCATTATTATTGTTATTATTACTTTTGTGGAGATACTTCTTTAGCTATTCATATAACGGGTATTGAATAATCATATGCGGCAAACATTCTAAATAGTTGGATTTTTAAACTTTACTTTTCAAGTTATCTGTATCGTTATTAAAAGGCTAACATGACCTACCTAATAACAAATCAGGATCATATTATCTATTTTACCTAATACACGTTAATCAGCTCTTTGGGCCGGGCCCTTGAGATTTAAAGTCCCAAAAAGCCCTCGTGCAACTAATTTAAAAAATGGTTGATGATGATGGATTTAAAAAATCAAGGGCATTTGTTAATATTTAAATAATGATTCTTCACAATGTGAACTTTGTAAATACATTTTAAGAATAAACATAGAAATACCAACTTTTGAGGCTTTTTATGGGACTGCCAGGACTGGCATCCGCAATTTGCGCAGCATCATGAGAATATCCAATTTAATTGGTGGGTTGGGTGCGTGTTATCCTTATTTAGAAATCAATTTGGCGATTGCGGATATTTTTTTTGGATAACATTGCACAATTTTTGATAAAATATCAGACGCACCTTTTTTATGTATACCATTCTTGAAATTCTATTTCTCTTTCTATTTTAACCATTACTAGAGAGCTCTTCTCGAGCTGATATTTAACCATTTCAACCAACAATAAGGTGAAGGTGCAGATGCAGATACAGAAGTACCATCTCTCATTCCTCAAGTATAACGTTTTCCTTTATATACACTGCCCTCCAAAAAGTATTCGGACGATTTTTTTCGATAATTACGCAAAATTCCACATAACGGAAGTACATAAAATTTATGTCATAATGTGGCTTAGGTTTTGGAGAACCTATGTGAAAAATCTCGTTTTTTTATCATTCTTTTATGATTTTTAGTTAAAAAAACAAACACTGGTCAAAATTTATCTTATTTTATGATGATCATTTTATATGTTTTTTTAAATTTTCGGCATTCTCATAATGTTTGATAGTGTCGTGAACTGTAGACTTTGGAATATTAAGTATCTTTGCGATTTTTGAAAGAGAACTACCAGCTATTCTTAGACCTAAAATTTTCCTCGCTCAGCTTCAGTTAATCCTGAATTTTTTGCCATTTTTAAAAATCAAAAAAAATCGTGAAATTTTTTTTGTTCTAATCAATTTTATTGATATCAGTTTATTTTTAATAACAAAAATTTCACACGTGACAGGAACGTAAAGTTTTAGTCGTTTATTTATGAGGACCTAAACTACAAACTATTAAATTTTTATTGAATTTTATAATATAAGATTTTGAGAAACGTAAAATTATTAAAAATTCGCAAAGATAATCCTCGCGATTTATTTGGTGTTCGTTTTTTTTTAACTAAAAATCATAAAAGAAAGACAGTATAATGAAAATTTATATGTAGAGCCGCCAAAACCTAAGCCATATATGGTATAAATTTTATGTACTTTCGTTATGTGGCATTTTGCGTAATTATCGAAAAACATCGTCCGAATACTTTTTGGAGGGCAGTGTATATCTATACTGTAAATGATAACAAACTCCCCTTTCTCCACCAATCCATTTTTTTTTTAATAATTAATTCTACTTTCTGTAACGAACATCTTAATAAATTCCCTCTCTATAACAAACAGGCACAATAATTACATATAGGATGGGGAGGTTTGTTTGTTATAAAGATAAAGCTAACTGGATAATCAATTATTGAAACTATTTTATAAAGTCATTGTCGTTTAAATAATGTGAATTAAAATACTTCAAAATAACTTGATTTTATAATTCCATAAAACCTCTAATTAGTGTAATGTTGACTATCAATAGAGATTCCTATTTTATTTCGTGTAATGAATGCTCAATGCATATTTTTAAATGACAATCAGTGGTGGACCTTGGAAGTCTGCATTTCATCCAGTAATAGTAGAGATGTTTGTACCTTTTGCGTCAAATCACGCTGCATTTCAAGCCAACATCCCAGTCATTTAATGTATTCTAATGCCTCCTCCTATAATTACTAATAGAGGGTTTTAACTTTTCAATATGGCACACACAAAAAATCTGATAATGCGCATTTTTGTTGAAGACATTAGATTATGGTTTTATTAGCAGATCTTTATATTTTTACATATAGTGCTTAGTTTAGGGGTAAAGGGAAAAGAGTCATCATATCCTAATGATTACAGCTTATTTAGCATTTTATAATATAGACCCGAGGATCAATAAATCATTATCCCTACACAACCCTTAATATATCAATGAACAATTATAACATTTTTTATTATTTAAAAGAAAAAAAAGAAGTTTTAATTACAATGAAAAAGAAAGATTTACATCATCAATTAATATCAATTAATTAATATTAATCAAAAAAAAAAAAAAAAGAATTATTAACAAAATTTAAAAGAATAATTAAAGCATTAGTTGTACAAATTTTTTATTTTTTTATTTTTATTCACCATATTCTTGTGTTTTGTGAATAAATTCAGATTTATAGATGAAGGCGTAAGAGGAGAAATTTTTTTATTTTTCTTGTTTTTAATAGCGTTGTAATTGTATTTTGATGGTAAGATTGCTTCAAGAGACAAATTAGTCCAATAATGATCGGCAATATCGAATTTTTCTGAGTATTGTTGATTTGTTAATATTAAACCAAGGTAATTGGAAAATGGAATACTTGTTTCTTGGATTTTTGCAATTGTCGTAGTTGATTTATTATTGTTATTATTGAGAATTTCGACCTTTGAATTAGAATTATTGTTAATATTGCTGGATTTAATGTTTTTAGTGGTGATCTTTTTGGATGGTAGAGTATTTTCGAGTGCTTCATGAGTCCAGTAGTGTGATGACAATAATTTATCGAAACTTTTCTTGGTTAATTGAATTTCATAAAGACCGAGATATGATGAAAATAGTGTTTTATTAGCAGTAGGTTTGGTGATAGATGCGGTAGAGGCAACGTCGGTAAAAGTAATAAGGGTAGTAGGATTAAAAAAAAATTTAATATCTTCACTTTCGAAAAAACCAGAATCTCTTTTAACTTGATGGTTTGACATTTTTTTTTTTGATTGGAAATTTTCTTTATATATAAATTTTTTATTTTTTTTTTTTAAAACTTGTTTTTATCTTCTTGAATTTATTTTTGATCTTGTTTTTGATTTTTCGAGAGGTGAAAAGTCGAGAGTTATTTTATAAGAAATTTCATCCATTATTCAAGTTGAAGAAGTTTTAGCATCCAAAGTAACCAGAAAAACAATCATTAATGCAAAAGGTGCAAGGGGCAGGAAGAGGAAAATAGCATTATTAAATGTTGAATGAATTCTTTGCTTTGCATATTATTCTGCCCACATATTGCATTTCATTATTTTATTTTTTTATATAAATATAATTCAATGTATTATTAACTAAAAGGTTTTTTAAATTTCCAATTAATCAATGTATTGTTAATAATTATTGATTACTTTAGATCTCATTTTTCCCAATTTGAAAGATTAATAAATAACAAATTATTTAATAATAATAAAAAAATTAATTCGAAAAAAACGATTCCAATGCAATCAAAAAAAACAATGCATTGTTTTTTTTGATTGCATTGGAATTTCTTCAACCTAATTTAAAGGGTAGAGTTCATTACACAACATATCATATGGCAAAAAACCACAAAGACCACAATTGTGATAAGATTAACGTTAATAAAGTTTTATTGAAAAGCTGGCGTGAATTTCAACAGAAGTTACAAGCAAATTTACGAATTATATTATATGTTTTTGTTGAATTAAGGAAGGAAAATCAAATGAATAGGCTTCAAGCTATCTTTAATTAATATGAAAGATGTTTTAAAATTTTATTGAAAATGCAAAAATGCACTAATAAATATGTTAAAAATAATTAATTAGTGCTATCTTTCAACACCAACAATTATAGACTATTTACACGAACAAACAATTTTAGTAAGAAATAATTTGTAAATGAATGGTCATATATTTGCTAGACATCCAAGTGGTTATTCATCAGGCTTCCATTATCTATAAGCAGTATATTTTATATATTTTTGCAAGTATAAATAAATTGATACAAGAGAGTTGTCATGCGGAGTATGTTACTTACAAAGGCAATAGATAGAAAGATATTGGAAGGGTAATTGGGATTAAGAGGATAGGATAGGTAAATTCAAATGTTAATTTTTTAATTCTCAATTTATCCAACAAGTTAAATTGATATATTAATTTATGGTTCACGTTTGTTTTCATTCATTCATCTATTCGCCTAAGCTCAAGATCCTGTAAATGCTTAGACATATCAAATAAATAAATAATTTTTTTATTTAATTTTCTCATTTTACATAATAAATATCCAACATTCACGTTCACATCCTCAAATGATCTTTCAATCGCAATTGCTAATATTAATTTAATATTCGCACAAACAGTTAAAATAATAATAAGGAAATAAATGTGTGACACAAAATATCAACCGCCCACAGTTTTGTTGACCAAAACACGTTAAAATGGTGGATGGTGTTTGGTTTGTATATAAATTATCTCGTGGCACGTATTGTTTAGTGAGACCAAACAAAAAAAATTAAAATTTCATATCCTAAATGTCTAGTAATAATTTTTCATCCTTAGCAAACATCAACCTATTTTTTAATAATCTTATTAACTCTAATAATGATGCTTTACCATTAAAACATATTAGTAAACTTGTAAGCGATTTAGCAAACTTGTTGAATGAATCAGATTATTATGACGTGGAAATTAAAGTCGGGGAAAATGATGATATTAGGACTTTTAAAGCTCATTCTAATATCTTAAAAGCAAGGTCTCTGTATTTCAAAGCTGCTTTGTCAGATGATTGGTTAAAAAAATCTGAGGACGGTACTATTTTATTTGAGAAAAAAAATATTTCTCCAAAAATATTTCATGTTCTTTTAAAGTAAGAAATATTTATTAATTAATTAATTAATTAATTTTAACTAGATTATAAATTAATTATAAAATAAAATATATATCTGAAAAACCCCTCTTTTTTTTTCTTTAAAAGATATATTTATAACGGGACTGTTAATATAGATGATCTGGGTCCAGATGAAATTCTTGGACTTCTTAAGGCTTGTGACGAACTAAACTTTAATGAATTAATTGAGGATTTTCAAGTTTATTTAATTGTTGAAAAAAAAGAATGGGTTCAACAAAACTTAATTTACATTCATAAATTTTCATCAACACACCAATCATTCAGAATACTCCAAGTTTATTGCAATGAATTAATTGATGAAAATCCAGAATCACTTTTGAAATCTGATGATATTGCTACAATTGAAAAATCAATGCTTATAACTATACTGGAATGTGATGGGTTAGAATTAGATGAAATCGAAATCTGGGACTATGTAGTTCGATGGGGAATTGGGCAAAATAAAGAGAAATTGTGTAAGGATATTTCAGAGTGGAGTAAAGGTGATTTTTATGAATTGAAAAATATACTAGAAGATATTATTCTATTAATAAGATTTGTTCAAATTTCTCCAAATGACTTTTATAAAAAAATTACACTGTTTCAAAAAATTTTTAATAAAGAAGTTTATAATGAACTTCTTGGATACTATCTCAGTAATGAATGGCAACCAAGATTATTGCCTCAAAAAGGTCCAAGAATAAAAAAAGGCAAATTATTAAATTCAAAAATGAGACATTTAATCTCTAATTGGATTGATGAGGAAAATGGTTTAATTAACATAAACAATAAATTTAGTTTGATACTCAGTGGATCTCAAGATGGGTTTTCAAGATCAGTCTTTGAAGAAAAATGTTACAATATTGAACATACTGTTGTTGTTATGAAAATTAAAGCAACGGGAGAATTAGTTGGTGGATATAATCCACTTTGTTGGAATAAAGAAGAAAAATCTCAAGATCAAGATTATTTTATTGAAACTGATAAAAGCTTTATTTTCAAGATTGATCAAAATCAAATAAATAATTCAATATTAAGCAGAGTTAAAAGACCTGAAAGTGCAATATTCCATAATAATAATATAAAAATTTTTAAAGTTATTGTAGATAGTATAAAATTTCATGAAGTTTCAATAAATTTTAATGATTTAGCACTAGGTAACAGTATTAATAATGAACCTTGTTGTCTTTATAATTTAAAAATTCATGAAAATAATTTAAACCTTATAAATAATCATAAAAAAGCTCATTTGTTAGAAGAGCTTGAAGTTTATAAATTAGTAAAGAAATTAGAATAATAGATACATAGATAGATAGATATGGGCATACCAGACAAAGTGAACATTGGTATTACCAAGAATTTCAGGGATCAAAATTTAGTCATTCGTAATTATAATTAATATTAATATTAACAGTTTTGTAATATCCAATTTGTTATTTTAAGTGATATAGACACACCTAATGCGGACATTTTCTGGTAGGCATTATCCTATTTCCCCTGACTGTGGTGGAATAGGATAACCCTAGGCAGTGTTGAAAATTCAGTTGGAGTGTATCACGTTACACTATTTTTTTATTTGCGCAAAAATATTAATTATTGGTCATACACAAATAAAAATAAAAGAATAAGTTGTTAAAAAAATTTTTATACCAAATTAATAATTAATGATCATTGATTTGTCTGTTGATGAAAATATAGAAGAGATTAAAAGACCACATATTAGAAAAACTGTTGACCCTAAGTGGTTTGATGGTTATCCATAGTTGGAAACTGAATCTGTTAATGCAAATACAATTTTATATTGTAAAGTTGCAATGGGGAAACAGTACTTGCAAGAGGCATACCTTTATTAAAGATAGATAGAATTAAAAACCATATGAAAATAAGGTTGTGGGCGAAATCTCCTTGGTAATTGCTGAAACCACAGCAAAACTATATTAAATCTTATCAAAAATCCTGTTGAAATTATGCCAAAATGGCAAAACCTCAAAATGTGAAACCCTGCTGAAACTCTAATAAACAATTAATGTGTAACCTGCCAAACTTTGCTGATTGATTTCTGGAGGAGTTTCAGCAAACAACCTTATATGAAAACCACTGAGCATAAAAAATCTGAAGAATTACTTAGATCGAATATTTCAAGACAATTAAGCACAGAAGAGTTAGAAATTATTTCTAAAATGAGAATTGTTTATTGCTGTTCAAAAAATAATATTTCTTTAAACGCTTATCCTGATTTATGCAAATTAACATCTCTACAAATTGAAAATAAGAAAGAATTAATAATTAGTGATAGAACCACTACCTTGAAACCTGCCTCTTTAAAAAAAACCATCACCATCTAAATCAAAATATTAATCATGCATCTGCTCTTGAATTCTTAGATCATCCGGAAAATATAAAAAAATTTTACACGTGCCAATTGTAAGTTTAATAATAAAAAAGTGTAAAACTTACGTCGGCACTGTAAGATTTACACAATATTACGTCGGCATCGTAAGATTTATGCAAGTTTACGCTAAATTAATTTCCCGATGATAGTATAGCATATATAATTAAAAAATCTCCCTTTGAAGAACTAAATTCTTCAATTTATTGGAGTATAATGATTGATGAAGTCAATAGTGTTGATGGTGATAAGTATTTAGCAATAGTAGGCAAATATATAATCAATAATATGCCATACATGAGATATTTGGGTATGATTAATTTAGACACAACTGATGGTGAAAATATATTTAATCAGATTATATTGCGAGCGTGCAATCCGAGTTTCCTAATTAATAGGTTATTTATAGCTCAACACACAGCCTACTTGCTGACTTACAGTTGATTCTATTGTTTGACACACAGCCTACTTGCTGACTTACGGTCAATTTCCTTTATTTATATATGTGACACACAGCCTACTTGCTGACTTATGGTCAAAAATTAATAAAAATATAACTTTTATCTTTTCAGACAAAAGGGTCCCTAGGTTCTATACAGTGACTTCCATAATTATTGCACCACTTGACTTAAAATTTTCAAATTGTAAAATTTTACAATGTAGAAATCATACAATCAATAAATTTATATCAATTAGAAATTTATGACTTCTTCAATAATATATTTAAATTTGACTGATGGTTTATTTGTGTTTTTTCGAGAAATTTCCATTCAAGTGTTTTTTTTGTGGTGCAATACTTTTGGCAACCGTAAATGGAAATGATTAGACAATGTTTACATGACGTTTATATAAAGTAACTATATAACAAATGTACGTTACATTCCTATTTGATCCACTTTTCTTTTTATGCTTAACTATGAAAGCAATTACACTTGAACAAAGAGCTCGTATTTACACTCTTATTCAAGAAGGATACTCTAGTAGTGAGATTGCATTTTGTGAAAAAATTAGTCATTCCACTGTTGTAAGAATAAAACAAAGAAAGGAAAAAACAGGAAGTTTTGACATTATACCAAAACCAGGATGCCCACGCATACTTTCTGAACAACATGATAGGAATATCTGCAGACTTATTAAATCGGGTGAATGTTCTAATGCAATTCAAATTCAAAAAAAATTAATTTCCAATAAAAATATTATTGTTTCTCCAAATACAATTAGATGCTCATTGAAAAGACAAGGTATGGTATCTAGAGTGAAAAGGAAAAAACCATTACTACTAAAACAACATAGAATTGCAAGAAAAAAGTTTGCATGGAAATATCGAAATTGGACTATAGAGGATTGGAGGAAGGTTATCTGGTCAGATGAAAGTAAATTCATGATTTTTGGTTCAGATGGAAGGGAGTGGTGTTGGAAAGATCCAAAATCACCTTTGCGTCCACAACATGTTAAGCCAACAGTAATGATGGTGGTGGTAGTGATAGTAATACAAGTTGGTAATAAAATAAATAAAATTATTATTATAAATATATTTTGTTGATATTTAACTTATTCCAAATGATCTGATAATTAAATTCATTAAATTGAATAATAATATACCAAACAAATAATTTCTATTTTCTAAAAATAAATAATTAATAAT